ATATTGCTCTTTTTAATAATAGTTAATTATTAAAATCTACCTAACTTTGAAAAAACATTGAGATACTGAAGCATATTTCAGTAGTAGATTATGCCCAAATCACTGTACATTCATTCGTTTGTAGATTTACAATAAAATTATAGTATTGCGAATGAGCACATTACAAATTGCCACTCATAAAAGCTGCAAGGCCCTCTTACTCCTCATAGTCTTGCCGCAGAGCGGAGGCTAAGGTTAAAACATTGACAAATTCTCTCAAATTCCTCAGATTGTATGCAAGTCCTTTCTGCTACATCCTTGTGCGAAGTGCCCAAAGCCTTTGCCTGTTCCGTCCAAAAAGAATGATTTATGGGTTCTTAGAAACCTCCTCATCAATCACTACAAAGACGAAGTCGCTAGCACAGAAAATTAGCCGCCCATCAGGGGACAGTTGAAGTGTAAAAGCAGGGCCAAATGGCTCGCAGAAAGTCCATTCCCCTTAAGTTTGCTTTACGCTAATGGAACCAACTAATAATTTTCCCATTTGGCAACAATACCGATCGCTAGACCTTTATTATACTAAAACAACTGGTTGATAAGCAAAATCTGGAGTTATGATTTATAGACCACTAATATTGTAACTTTACAAAAACACGCATTTTCTAGCCAATGAATTTTCTTCATCGTGGCCACAATTTGTCCATCATTGCAGTGCATTGACGAGAAAATTGGTGTAAAGATCAACCTCAGGGCGAACGTCGATGCCCTTCATTGAGGCTATGCATCTTGAGTGAAGGTAAGTGTAGCCAGATCTCAACATTGGTTTACGATCGGCAACTTGGCCTGTGGAAACCGAAGAGGATCAGGCAACCAAAATGCTGTGCAGTACATTTATCTTGTCCTCTTGACTCTCGTGGATGGCGACTATGTAGCTCTGTCACCACACCTCCGTCAGATCGTGCCACCAGAACCTTAGTCTTTCGCAGTATTGACGTCGACTATCACTTCAATTTCGTGCTTTGAAGAACCGAGTCAGCACTGTTGATGGCAGTGAGCGTGGTAGAACGGTAGGCACTGAAGTCAGAACTAAGGAACGAGGAGAAACGGATGATATTGTGCGACTAGCGGCAAATGCACCAACTAGCCAGCCCACGTTCGAGTTTGAACTTCGAATAGTAGAGCTGTTGAAGGAGACCAGCGGTACTGAGATCGAAGCCGTTTTCGTTCGTCGATATGTGAAATAAGTGGCTGGTGGGTGGAATTCTTTCCGCTGAGACTGAATCTTGACCAAAAGGAGCGCCTAGAACGGGGGGTGGGGATGAGAGGTCTCAATGGAGTTTTCAGTACTGTACCGATGATGAACATCCTGACTAAACGAGCCTTGCCAATAGCTCCACGCCCTCCTCCACGTCGCAATGCATATTCCTTCATTTGCATTGGCGGTATTGAGGACTTACAACGTCCCTTTTCAGTGTTTTTTTTTTTGATACGCGAACTGGATCTCAAAGGATAATCTCATTTCCTTTGACAAGGTCGATTGCTAATTTAAGGTTTCATAGTCAAGCCTCCTCCTCGCGCATACCTCATTCTTCAAAAGGAAAAAGCAAAGGATCTTTTTAGAATTTTTTCCAACTTTTTGGATGCAAATAAAGCATCTAGAGCCTTTTAGAAGCGGAATCGGAGATATAGAGGGTGTATTACTTCGTTTACGGGAGCTGAGAGGTTACTGACGTGGCACAGAGGCCGTGTTGTGGAGGGAGTTGTAAGCCCGCTATGCGGGCAAATGACGAGTTTACCAAATTCTAAACATACTCCACCGATTAATCACAGCACCTGATTCAATGAGAGAAGCAAAACAAATGTTTGAATTGAATGTTTCTAGACGAAGTCATAATAGTGACTGAGGTGAGGGTGAGAGGCTTTTAACTTGAGGCACCCACAACCACAGCCACCCCATGACAGTGGGACAGTATTCACGTAGGGATGTGAGAGATCCACGCGTCAATCTGCCAAGACCAGGCCACAACAATTATTACAAACTTATTTCCGTACTCAAGTGACTTCAATGCCCTCTCCGTGGGAAGGACCCGTTTGTTTGCTTTCAGTGCTGCTGAAAGAGGGTTTGGGGAGAAGAGGAGGGAGGAGAGAAGTAGATCATCCTGTAATACGTTGTTCAAACACAAGAAAGACCAACTGACGGGTTTTTAAAAGTGGCCTATTCCACTGCCTTGATCAACGGGCAAAGTTGAGTCGGAGCAGTCTACATTGTAAAGAATTACTGAAAGCATCAATTTCATGTGGGCTGCCTTGAACACCAGCAGGGGAAGAAAATAGAAGCACTGGAAGTGCCCCTCCTCGCATTTCCGAATTAACTCTAAAACCGAGGAGATCCACAGAGATGTTGCACTGGGAGATTTACCTTTAACCACAGAAGACTTTTCGAAGAGAAATTATATCAACCATGGAAACCTACTTTGAGCGCCTTTTTACTCGTAGTAATGTAATAACCTGGGAGCCTGTTAGAGGCAGTCGACAATTAACTTTAATAGACTTTTGCAAAACGAGCAACTACGAGCGGTCCGATGCCGCCCTAAAGAAAAAAGAACTTGCAACACTGGAACGCAAAACGCGTTGTCTATGCACAGACGGATCAAAGGTGAGTCTTTTGGCGTGGTTCCGGGCGAAAGAACAATCAAAGGGACTAAAAGTGTTGCCGAATAGACAAAAAAAAATAAATAACTCAGTACACTCATGGTCACTCCTTTGGTGAATTGTCTGGGCAGGGGAATCACTTCCCATGCTCAGCAAAGCACGAGTACAGCCTTCAAAGTAAGACTACTGACTAGTGCATGTCACTTTTTTATAACAAGCCTAAAGTAACCAACTAGAGACTTCAACAATGACCTGAGCATGCTAGTGGAGTGCCTTCAAAGGCAAATCAGCATTTAAGCAGTTGACTGAATGGAAGAGAACTTGAAGAGACAAAATTGGGATGAAGGAATGACAAAGAATGCACTCCTCGTAAGAACGACATTTGTAAAGGTTTGTTGAATTGGGTGCTGAACCTTTCGAAAGGCAGCCCAATGACCGGAGAATCCATCATTTGGAGGGCACAATGCATAGTGGCAAGGTTAATTGCTTTGCGTTTTCTGAGAATGACCACAAAAAGAGACCAAGTAGAGGGAAAAGCCTTTAAGCAATCATCGAAATGTCAGCGATTCGCGTAATGAATGCGATCGCTTATTTCACTCTGAATGTCACAATGTCACGCCTAATCGCAGATTTGACGTTTTCCGGAGAACTTTTTGAGGGCGTGAAAATAATATTTTGCCATCGTTAATTTCTTGTGATAATGCTATTGAGGTTTACAGAAAACTTGTACTACTTTAGACAAACAATTTTCAGGTTTGTTTTGGAGGAGCAGTACTTAAATTAAACCGCCTGTTGGGCCAGTTGTGGGGTCGTTGATTTAAAGAATGCCATAGCGTAGCCCACCGACAGAAGGGAGAAAAACAAATGGCTTTACAATGCCCCTCGAAAAGAAAAATGGCAAATGCAAGATGCTACATGGCAAAATTTGAAAACAACGCTACCAACAACCTTGTGTGAATTCAGTAGAGTGTTTTGAGACACTAAACTGTTTTTGTGTTGGTGGAAAGTTTGACAAAAGGGACGATGGGGACCATTTTATTGTCTCCAAAGCTCTGCTGCACATTTAAAACGCTCTCTTCCGTCTTTGGGACAGACTCGGATCGCTATAACCACAGACACAAGAAACATTTCTGCTTTTACTATTTAGAAGCCTTTTCGGGAGGACGATGGCCCACATCGACCAATATGTAGGAATGCAGAGGACCAAAGGACATTCACATATGAGGTCTGCCATCTCAGAACCTCACCGACGCACCTTTCGTCTGTACAGAGCGGCGGGAAGCAAAGGCATTTGCATCAAGGTCCATGTTTCCTAAATACTCCCGTCGGCTCAAGCATGCAAACCGATATAAAGCCCAGAATTATGGAGGCGAAAGGCATTTTGGTGTCGAAATTTAGAACAAAATAAGTAGAACAGCCTACAAAACCGAATGCATTACCAAAACACTGACACTTCCGTTGACTCGCTTTCCTCAACAGATTCAATTGACCTGGAACAAAGCAATACGGCACGCTGCCCGCCTCAGCCGTCACGAAAGTGTCTTCGACACTCCTACGCTTCGGCAGCACACAATAAGCACCCAGATTCGGTACCGAGGTCTAAAATATTGTACAGTAAGAAGGAAAAAAGGCGCTCACATTACCTGTTGTGTCGAACTTTCCACGTTTCAACTTCCCCCACCCTGACAAACAAGCAAAGCTAATGTGAGAAGCAGAAAAGACATAAAGTGATTAGCAAACAACAGTAAATAAGACGCTTCGAAGACCATATGGTGTTGGGGAGCAGACTAAAACAAACCTTGGCACCTCCTTCCTTATTGCCCATTCAGTAGGCGTTCACGGAGAAATATCTCAACCATATGCCGGCAAAATCGCTGTCAACAATAAAACTTCACCAAAAGTTTGCATGAAGTGACGCCCGATGTAGCGAAATGGGGATGAGAAGTGCGACGTTCTGACTGCAGAATATGGCGAAAGAATTCGCTCTCTCTTTTCAAATCCTCTACCGAACGTCTGATGTCACCTCACTGAAAAGTTTAACGCCGAACTCCGCCCGAAAAGCAACCACCTTCGAAGCAAGAACATCCCACCAGGCTTCCAATGCGTCATGCTCTTCAACGTTCATGGTGGAAAACAGCATCGTACAGCAATCGGTCTTTCAGTGGAGAGACAACACAGGTTGTATGTGGGCGTAGTCAATCCAGGCGAAAAACCAAAACTTCTAGCACATTCGAATTTAGTGAGTATTTAAAATAATAAAATACTGTAATGCAAAATAAATCTTCCATACATAAAGGGGGAATGAATCGGAGCAGGAAGGACAAATGTCTGAGTGAATCAAATTGGTCCCTTGCAGAATATATTTTCCTTTAGTCATTGGCATTTGTATTAGCTGATTCATTCAGAAGGGGAGCTTCAGAACTGCCGAACTCCTCTTCCGTCACCGTTTCTGTGGAGGCTGATCTGCGACGATAGAGGTGGTGTTGGATGAAGAAGCCGCAGTCAAAAGCAATGGAGAGCAGACCTAGGCCAAGTTTTGTTGGTGATCCGTAAACAATAGACCAGTCGTCTGCGAAAGAAGAAAGGTTAAATTATTAGAGCAATGACTTTTCGACCGCGGATTCCGAAGTTTCGTCCCCATGCACTTTATGATGGTCTGTAAACGCGACAATCAATGAGATGAGATGCTCAAAATGATAGCGTCGTTTGTCGAAACTAATTAACTCGAAACTACAGGCTGCGATATTCCTAATAATAACATCTCCAAATGTTGTCGAGTCCTCCGCATCCCCATCTAGAAAGATGAGCAATCGCAGGGTCCCAACCTCCACCATATGGTCTACAGGATCTGGAAGAGTAAAAATGAAATAAAAAGCACAACCATCCCGTTACTCTGATGATGCAACTACTCAGTTATTCAACGAATTACTCTGAACGAATAATTGGATGGAAGAGGTCATGAGTCACCAGGCCATCGGTTAAACTTCAAGAGATTAGATGCCAAAAGTTATTGTAACGGAAATAAATTTAGTTTTGAACACGAAATTTCAAAAATTGTTCCTTTACGGTTCTTCGGAGACAAAGGAGAGATCAATTCATTTTTGAGAGAATCGCAGCAGTTGAGGTGTTGATCCCAACGCCAAGGGTCAAGAGTGGCAAGTACCCTTGCTCACCTTCAATTACGAGGTAAGAATTAAAAAGTGACGGAAGCTTGACGAATCTCAAAGAAGTCACATAAAGGTAGTCAATAAGTAAACAACTCCATACCATAGCCAAACTGTACAACACTTTTCAGTGATGAGACAAAAGAAATCAAGAAAATCGGTGTGACATTGGCAATGCAAGAGGACGGTGCCAGCGTCATTCGTTTCTACGTTACGTTCAGGTAGCAAATCAGAATTTTGCACGATATTTAGTGTGATTTAAAACCAAATTTAAATGCATATAAAAAGTTTAGCTAACGCAACTATTCCAATGTCTACTGATAACATGCCTCAACGATGAATAAGTAGTATCGGCCATTCAACCTTGATTTTAAGGGTTGCCTACCTAAAAAAGAGGCCCTTGGAGTGCTACAACTTCAAAGTGCAGAGATATTCGCTTGATGAATTGCTGTCATAGAACTGTTGAATCTCTCCCAAAAGACGTTTAAAAAGCCACAATCACAATCTGAAAGTCGTTCAACGCGAAACACAATTGGTGATCCGATCTACACATTGAAAAGGCTGCTCTTCTCTGGGGATCTAGAAAACGAAGCTCATTTCTAAACTACCATCATTCTAACCTCTACTTTCACATGGCGATATTTCCTTTCTCCTGCGATTAGTTAGTGGAGGGAAAATGATGATGAGCACAGGTAGAAGGAGAATGAGGAAACACACGGTAGCCTCCTCCCTCACCTTGCAAACAAAAGGCAGCGGTGATATGAAGTCTTGACTTGCGATGCCAATCAGGAAGACAACTTTCTTTCGACGGATTAACTAATTCCGATTGTTTTTAGTGTCTTCTGCAATTTTACATGCTGCACTGAGATGCTTCGAGTAGAGGCTTCTCAGTCGCATTTATTATCCGGTCCTGAGACGTTGACATCGTCAAAGCAGAATTCACCGTTTGGTGAAGAAGTAAAGCGAGAGAGAGAGAGCAGATAAGTGAATTACGACCTCCATGACACGAGCCGATTTAAATGCAGCAATCTAAAGAGGTGAATCGCCTACACCCAGGAGAGGAGATAAAATAATCGCTTGAGCTAAGTTAAGATGTCGGTAGGAGTTGGCTTCAGACAGAAAGGAAAGTGAAAAGGCGACTTTTAAGGATAAAAGGTAGGAAGAAAAAGTCTTCACATCTTGGATTGGGAGTGGCCCACTTCAGACCGACAACAAATATAAATTGAAGCAGAAAAAGCGCTCCTGTCAACAATGGAAGTCCGGAAGAATAGTCAACGTCAAAACCGGTTAAAGGACGCGCCCAAAAGCCAACTTTCAGTTCTTTTTTACTCCTCTTACTCGTTCTACGTAGCCGGAAACTGATGACCGTTTCATTACAGGACACCACGTTGCAGAGTGATTAATACTACCCTTAACTCACCCTCCTTCTTGTCCTCCGCACGGATAGAGGAGGGTTAGAGTTGAGAGACGCCTTCCTTATCTTTTTCAGAAAAGCAAAACCGAGAAGGAGGATAGCGTGTAACCACTCGCTTCAAAGAGATGAGGAATGTGAGAAAACAATTTGTAAACGAAAGCGCAAAAATAAAGAAGAAATTAGTTTGGTAATTGCATTACCAAAAGAGAGAGAACGGTTCAAAAGGGGCTTCCTTTGTAACCGGCACTTCCACTAAAACGATCGACTTGAGAAGGATGCTTTGTTGAGGGAAAATTGCATAGGTTGCCAACATTAGTCAGAACAAAAAGCAAGTCTCATACATAGCCGGCTGTCCAGCATCAATCCCACCCGCGGAGGAGCAAAACAGAACAGTAGGTGTCCGGCTCCCTCCGTTAGGTGGATCAGTAAGAGCACGTGTTGTAGGAGGAAAAAATCCTTTTAATAAAAGCAATGCCACAAAATATGAACCGCCTCAATCGTATTTCGACAGACCATCGACATTACGCTACAGCGCATCGATGGAATACCCAGAGGCGGAGCATTTCAATGTTATCAACGTCTCAATGATAGACAGCCGCACTTTAGCACAAGTGACGAGTTGGAGCCAGTCCGCAGTCTCACAGATCAACAGAATTCCTCCACCTCTAGAGGGGATTGACACAGCCTGTCGTAAGGTCAGTATCCACCAATCATTTCACACTGAAGTGGACTCTCATGGATTAGCTGCGCAAGACCGACTTTCGGATGCTGGATTCTAAGAATCTACTACGGCCGCATCAACACTTTGGCATTTTTTTCAGTAGCCATTATCCCAAGGCTTTGATTCAACGTAAATAGTCCTTTAAACTTTTCCTTTTCGACATCAGTTAGTAACGAGTCTTAAGGTGATTTCAGACATATGCTCTACAAAAAGGGTGACGACCGAGATCAAAGATCGAGAAAGCTCATGTTTCTTGAAAAAAAAATTATTTGGCTCTGGAGGAATGCTCAAGTCAACCCAGTTTGGAAAGGAACGCGAAATCCAAACATCTTTGCCGACCAAAGAGCGCCTAATGCCACCAAAAGATGACATTCCTTCCATAATGTGAATTTAAGATGTCGTCTTGGCAACAGTCCAGTGAATCTAACGAAGAGGTTGTAGAGGGGACTGCTCTCCCTTGCTTATGAAATCGAAAAACGCTAATCACAGGAATAAAAGTAGGGACAAATAAATCATTCAATGAAAAGGATTATTATGCTGGCATGCTTTGAACTGTGCCTCACCTTCCCATCCGCGGGTTTTGGGCTTTTTGCCGACGTGTGCATTGTGTTAGGCGATTTTCACTACCGACACTCAACGCTTCTTTAGGCAAGCAAAAACTCCCGACTGCTTTACAACTGAATTAAGCTCCGTAAACATGTGAACAAACTAAGGACGTATCGTTTGGGGTTCTTGCATTGTTCTCCAAGTCGTGGAAAAAAGGATGAAATTAAGGAGATGGCAGAAGTGCTCTGTCCTAGGTACAAATGTAAACGTTAGTGAATGCCTCGACTGCCTGCTAAGTCGTAAACATGGACTCAACTTCACAGGCCTCGATTGTTAGGGCGCTCCGAGGTGATCCACACGTGGCGATCAGGAGCCCTTCAAGTGAATAAAATGCTATTGTGGAATCATCAGAGGATGAAAAAAGTAGCGTCGAGAAAGGGGCGTCCAATGTTAGCATCCATTTACCGCGTAGTGTCAAGCAGTAAGGAGCGAAACGTGACCTGGAGGGCTTCAAAAGCACCCATCATGAACCACATTGCACCGAATTTAATGATACACTTTGGGCAATTTAATTAATGAATCGAGATTGGATGAGGCAAGTAAAGCAATAGAGGAGTAGCAAAGGATAAAGAGGCTTTCAAATTGTTCCCGTTATTGACCTTTACTTCTTATGAGAAAGTATTTCAATGCGGCATCGCTCTCCTATTCTTCTCCACGCCTTTCAAAATGCGAAATATGCCTTTTGGCACTTTAAAAAAAAAACAAAATAGAGGAAACGGAGGTGCTACTTTTCTTGAATAGTGCCAAGTGTACCGAATTAACACATTTGGGAGACCATCAGTCTTAATTACCAACTACCACCCAAAAAATGGGAAAAGAAGATAAAACCACTCATCCCATCCCAACACCACTACCACCATCACCACTACGAAGACTAGTAGATGTGGATTGATTAAGATGATTCTCAGGAGCGACAAGTCACCCTACAATTAATGTTTACTGGAACTATTATTTGAAAAACAAGACTTTCTTTACTAGATGAGAAGGGTTGGTTAACTTCAACTATGTCTCGGAGCACTGCATTACTATCTGCCAGTAAGAATGAGATAAGGTCTCTTCCTTTTCCTTCTTTTGAGAAAATCTAGCAAGTCAGACTGAAACTAGAGTTTCAATCTCCCCTCATTCATCGACAATGCGCCTTTTCAATTTACACCAAAAAAGGAAGCAGATGTAAAGCGATTACTTGTAACTGAAGCATCTTGAGTCGCCACTTCTGAAATGATGTATCGGTGAGGAAGAGAATGGCGGGAATGAGTGATTGCCACCAACTCAAAGTACGCTAAGCCCAAGCACCAGGTCGAATGTCTCCCTCCTTTAATGCGGCAATGGGAATGGGACCAACGAATTGGCCAATGCCTGGAGGATTTTGAAAGGTGCAAACGAAGTCACTCTCAGGTCGAGAGACCATTTCACATGTCCCAAATTGTTGACATACAGGCCTAAGTTGGTTGAGAATTTGGGCATCGCATGCGTTTGTCCATAGAGGGTGCACTTGATGAAGTAGCCATAATATGCAATCTTAACAAAGGTAATAAACCCAAGAAATTCCTCATATTTATTCAAAGAAAACAGTGCAAACATTCTCTCTGCACTACAATTGTTATTAGTTGAACTTATGACAATCAAAAAAAGGGAAAAAATTCCTCAGAGAATGCCATGCCATTACCTCGTCATTTACGTTTCTATGCTATGCACCCGTTTGGTCGCAATGACAATGACATGATGGCGGATCGGCCCGCCATTCCTTTCCAAGTTATCCCTCGGTGATTAAAAATGCTAAAATAGATGAGCTACCTACTGTTAGCCAATCCAAATTTCTGCCCCTATACTGCCGAGACTACTCGTTGGACTAAACTGGTTTGTTTTCCTCAAGAAAAAAGTACGTTCCTAATCAAGTGTGCTGAGCCGGACTCCTTGAACAATGCAGCC